ATGAAAAATATTTCAAATTTTATTAATACAGTATTAACATCAAATTTTAATAAATGTACTGTTTTTTTGTAAGTATAGAGGAAAATGGTAATTGATATACAACTCCGTACTATTTGTGCAACTTTTCTATAAATATAACATGTTTATTTAAAAAAAGAAAAGAGCAAGCCAGCCATCATGTTGCACAACTCTTAATCCTAACTACTTGAAGCTGAGGCAGGAGGACTCCAAATTCAAGGCCAGCCTGGCAACTCAGCAAGACCCTGTCTAAAAATAAAATTTTAAAAAGGGCTGAGGATATATCTCAGTGCAGAGCACTTGGCTAGCATGCATGAGACTCCAGGTTGAATCCTCAGTACTGTCAAAACACAAAAAGATGTTGAACTTGTGTTTTGGGGGGAGTTGAGACAGGTTCACCCTATGTAGTTCAGGCTGGCCTTGAACTCATGGCAACCCTCCTGCCTCAGCCACCCAAGAACTAGGATTACAGGTGAGTGCCACCATGTTCACTCTCAACTCTGAACTCTATAACATTTTATTTTTTCTCTTTTTTATAACTATCTATAAATGTGTTCAGACCCACAAATAGAAAAATGACTCTACTTGCATTGGCTTTTTCTTGTTTTTTCAAACACATTTCTTAACATGCCAAACGCTTTCCAGTTTCTTCTCATCCTTATGTAGATGAGCTATCCCAACTCTACATTTTTGCTTAAGCATTACCTCCTCAGAAAAACTTGCCAAGAGTCAGCACCACAGCTTCTCCCTAGTCACAATATTCTATTTCATTTATAGCACTTATCACAACCTATAATAATCTTTGTATAGTTATTTTACAGTTCTCCACTAGTATGAAAGCTCAATAAGGGTGAGTCCTTTTTGTCCCTGTTAACTAGTGTCTCCCCCAGTGTCCTGAAGAAAAGTCTGGGTGCGGAAAGGCATTTAAATAATTGAATGAAAACATATGCAAATGAATTGAATCATCTATGGAAATCAGGTGGAGTGGTGATCTTCTCCATAATTACCAAGTGTACCTTCAACTTCTTCTGATTCTTACACAGCACCAGAGTAAATAGAAGATCAGTTTATTTCTCCAATCTTCAAAAAAATTTTTTACGGTGTTTTGAGACAAGGTCTCACTATGCAGGCCCTCACGCTGGCCTTGAACTCATGGCAATCCTCCTGCCTCAGCCTCCCAAGTGCTGGGATTACTAGTTTAAACCACCAAGCCCGGCAAAATTACCAAATATTAAAGAAAGAAACACAGATTATTAGAATAGATGTAATCATATAGATATTTCTAGCTCCATTAAAAGAAAAGAAGGAACATGAGAACAGAAAGGAGATAAACCTAAGATACATGCTATTTGGTCTATAGACAATATAAAAAGATGTCCTTTGGAGAGAGAAACACACACACACACACACACACACACACAAAATTGAAGGAACTGCTTATTCTTGTTGTAGGAGGAGCCAGTCTAGTTGAGCAGCAGAAAGCAATTCAAATGTACACACAAAACAGAGTCCATGTACAAAGACCCTCCTTTTTGTTCTATGCTCCCTACAAAAGTAACAGATATATCAGCAGCAATATTAGAGCCAAATGACTCTACTGCTTCAGGATGGAAATGTCTATATACTATAAGACCAAAGAAGAACTCTTGAAAAGAAATGGAGACTATACCCCAGCAAAGTTGCTGAGGCTGGGGAAAGATATTTTCCTTGTGTTTTGGACTTGGAAGCAGGCTGTGCTAGTCAACTGGGATACAACAATTCCAGTTTGACTAAAGAGCACCCCCTGGATATAAAAAATATCAGATGTGGGCTGGGGATTTGGCCCAGTGGTTCTGCTGCCTGCCTGGCAAGGGCCTAAGTTTGATTCCCAGTACA